TTCGTCAGCCTCAACTTTGAATGAATGCATATGAGCATATTTATAGTACACTCGAATTATTCATTTCATCTTGAAAAAGATAGATTTTCTGAAAAGATAAGTTTAAAAGATATTTTCTAAAAATCAGTTTTCCGAAAATATATCTTTTTGTTAAGAATAAAAACTGTCAATAATAATAAGATAAACTTAGCATAAAATCAGATTTTATTCAAAACTTATCTTTTTGTTTAAAATACTTTTTAAACAATCTTATCTTTTTCCAAAAGGGATTTATTAGAAGATAAATATCTTTATTCAGTAAAACCAAATCCCTAAAAGATATGCACGTATAAGGTAAATATATATATCATTAAAACCGACTTTTAACGACGTTCATACTTAAGTTCCTATTAGGTTCCTGAACTCTGACAGTCTCTGAGTTCCTGACAAGTCAGTTACTCTAATTTCATTGACTGTTTGGAATTCACCTTGGTTCTATATAGACTTGTTCCAGACCGACTTTTATGTCCAACATACTTACATGAATCCTAGAGCAATATACTTCTATTTCTCTGTCTTCATGTTGCTTCTCTGAAACTCTTGTTCTGGAATCCTGTAGTCTTGATATATTCTGGATCTTAGGGTTTTCCCCAGCATTACACCGAAACCAGGTCGTTACAACCCGTTTTGAAGTTCCTGTTAAGAAACTTCTGGAAGTTCCATTTCTGGAACTCTTCTTCTAAATTTACTTGTATCCTCATGGATCCTCTAAAGTTCCTCTGTTTCAATTCCTACTTCAGCCCTCAACGCTTACTGAACCTGCAAACATCACAACACTAGAAAATCCTTATTAAATGGAAGTTTGCTCAATTCTTAACATCATCATCAAAACCTCATAAGGATCAACAAGTTGTCCCTTTTTGATGATGACGAACTGAGCAAACTTCTGAGAATAACAAAGTAAAACAGAAGGTTAGTTTTTTATTTATAAAAACAATAAAGAAAACTAAACTAAATTAAAAGACTCCTACACATACATAACCTATATATGTATAGGATACTTACCTTATGAAGCTAACATATGTAAACACATGTTTACATAGTTACCTTCATGGTCCCTTAGCCATCATCATGCTTATCAACCATAACACTTATCGTTGTTCTTGTTCCTCTATTGCTTATCCTATATTGCTCAAGTTCCTTACATATATACCTGTCATTACTCAGGTTCCTTGTATCCTGTTCCAAGCATAATTTGCTTTTTCTATGCACAACTTAACATACACGTTAGATAGATAATCATCATTAGTTTATAATCATCAAAACCTAATTGCTCAACAATTCCCTTTCAGAATTTCATAGAGGTTTGAAGAGAAAGTGGAGAGAGAGTGCATTTGAAATTCTGATTTTTCTGGGCTTAATTCCATTATGACACATACAGTCGGTATTAATGGAGGGAAAGCAAGCGCAATTTGTAATACTAACAAACAAATTTACAAGCGATAAATCTATAAAACTTCGGAATCCACCAGAAAAGAGTGAAACTCTCAAAAGTATTATGTAATTGAAAAAATGAATTCTAAAGATGGCTAAAACATTTAAATAGTCTAAACAAAACCCTAATACAAAAATTAGACAAAAATAGGAAAATGTTTAAACGCTGTTTTCGGGCCTTAAACGAACTCGGATGACTTATAAAACTTATCAATCGGCATAACCATTCGTTGGACTCGTTGGCCTGAATCTGGTTTTGAAAATATATTTTATTAAGCAATCTGACTCCGGTAGTATGACTAGTAGAAATCATGACTAGTAAAAAACAACTCAAATCTTCCGACGCTGGACTTCTTCGTAGAATCGTGCAGCAACTACTTTCCGGGTTAGGCAAACCTTGGATCTGTGATCTTTGCCATTATAGCAATAACATGTATCACCACTAGGTTTGACATGGATTGCTCTGCTTCTGGACAGTTGCCTTGCCCTGCTGCGCACTACTAGAACTCCCCTTATTTGCAAGATTGGGGTCTTTAGCAACCGCACTCTTTTCTTAATCACCTACGGGATCAAAGTTATTCTGGGGTGAGTACCTTCTAAAAGTCGAGAAGTTTCTAAGGGACTTCTCCATTATTCGGCTTCAAAGTCACTCTAGATGCCTCTGCAACAGTCCACAAAGTTTGTAAACTCATCTTCTCTTGCAAGGAACTCTTTAAGCTACTAATGTATGGAGGTACTTTTTGGCTTTCTGACAGTCAGATCATTGCACTGCGAATAGCGCAATAACTCCAATGTGTACTCTGTCGCAGTTCTCTTCCCTTAAGCACACTCAATATACATCTTGTACGGAATCTGCTCATAATAATCTTCTGTCAAAAACCGCTCCAAACATTAACTGCTTCATCTTCCGCCAAGTCTTGACTGGCCCCTTCCTTTTTCTTTGCCTCTGTATCCCATCAAACAGCAGTAGTGCTTTTCAACCTAATCGCCACCATCTTAATTGTTTGTTTTCAGGAACTTCCATCACTTCGAAAACTCAATAATTATGCTTATGGTAATGATTACCTTCGTCACTCCTTTCTTCCTCGAAGGGCTCTTCTTCCTCAGATTCCAAACTATATGTAGTAACAGGTCCTTTGCCTTTATCTTGTAGACTCTTATTCGACTCCCCTCTCCTGTCTTCTTGCTGGTTTATATTATTTTGCATACATTGTTCATCTGTGTAGTCAACGCTGTCATCTGATTGGTCAAAGCAATAAGGGCCGTGGTAAAAGTCGCGGTAACTCCTTTGAGATCTGCTTTGGTTACCGATTTACCCATGGTTGTTCAAGATATGAAAGAAATAGGAATTAATACCACCTGACGCAATCAAAATTAATGAAGGAAAACCAAGCGCAATTCCTAGTACGAACAAACAGATTGACAAGTGATAAATCTGTAAAACTCCGGAATTCACCAGAAAAAAGTTAAACCCTCAAAATTATTATTATATTTGAAAAGGTGAATTCGAAAGACTAATAAAATATTTAAATAGTCTAAACAAATCCCTAATACAAAAATTAAGCAAAAATAAGTTACGAAAATGTTTAAACGCTGTTTTCGGACCCTAAACGAGCTCATTGGCCCGTTTTCTTTTCTGAAAATATATTTTATTAAGCAATCTAACATCTGGAGCCCGACTAGTATAATTCAGTACTGTCAAAACGGTTTGACAGTTCGGTTTCGGTTCGGTTTGAAATCAGTTTCGGTTTGAAATCGGGTCGGTTTGAAATCGGTTCAAATGTCTTACGGGTCGGTTTCAGTTCGGTTTAAATAATTATCAGTTCGATTCGGTTTCGGTTTATTCTTGAACGGTTTAAATTCGGTTCTGGTTGTAAACAGTTCGGGTAGTAAACGGTCCGGTGCAAACGGGTTGCGGTTTGTTAACGGTTCGGTGTAAACGGTTTTTATCCCGGTTTAAATTCGGTCCGGGTTGTAAACGGTTCGGGTTGTAAACGGTTCGGGTAGTAAACGGTACAGGTTGCGGTTAGTTAACGGTTTTTGTCCGGTTACAACACTTTGGTTCTTTTTTGGTTCAGTTTTATTTTAGTTCGGTTTATAACTGGTTAGGTTCGTTAACGAGTACGGTTCTTCTACAATTTAACATTATTTGGATCGGTTTTATTTCAAGTTTACTAAATTACGGTTCGGGTCTGTTTTTTATTTCAAAAAATCGGTTTTTTATCGAGTCGTTCAAATAACCCCTTATAGGAAGTGGTTTGTAAACGGTTCGAATTATAAGCGATTCGGTTTATAAACGGTTCGGTTTATAAGCGGTTCAGTTTATAATCAGTTCGGTTTATAAACGGTTCGTGCAAACGGGTTGCAGTTTGTTAACGGTTCGGTGTAAACGGTTTTTATGCCAGTTTAAACGGTTTCAGGTTAGAAACGGTTCGGTTCATTTTCGGTTCGGTTTTCCTTTCAGTTCGGTTTAGATTTGGTTCGGTTCTTAAATGGTTTAACGTTTACTCGAATCGGTTCGGTTTCGGTTTTACTAACATGCGGTTTGGGTCGATTTTCGGTTTCATAAAATCGGTTTTTAATCGGTTCGGTTCTCATTCGGATCGGTTGAAACGGTTCGGTTTCACCAGTTCGGTTCGGTTTTTGAAGTGCTAAGTATAAATGATGACTAGTAGAAACAACTCAAGCCTTCCAACGCTGGACTTCTTCGTCAAACCGTGCAACTAATCTCCCTACATCATATTATATAGTCTCACATGTACATGTTATTTTGTTTTAAACGTATGTTATTTTGCTTTAATTTGTTATAATATGTTGGAGTAACATGAACATAGGATTGGATTACCTAATACTAATTGCCCTTCTTAAAATTATAATCCCTTCACTAAAGCATGAGTGCATGACTCTATTATACACTTAAAGAGTGAAAGGAGGTTGGATCAGCCGCTTTGTTGAAATACCACCTTACTTGCCCTAGCTACATACTACTAAAGTCTTAGGCCCAAGGGAGTCAATTTTTCATCATATTCCATACATCACATGCATGCAAGTCTAGGCTTACAAAGTATTTATAAGCGAGCGATGCTTATATAAATTAAATAAACATTTACATCGCATAATATATTGTCTTAATGTAAACTTTCAATACATATATACTTCCTCCGTTCTTTTTTTATCGCATCACTTACTACTTTAGGAAGTTTACTTATTATTGCATCATTTCCTTTTTAGGATAAAAAATATTTATGTTCACACTACAAATACCCAAAATACCCTTACTTTTTCACACTTACTTTTTATTTTATCTTACATTACATGGACAATTTTATATTTTTACGTTTCTCTCTCTTACTTTTTTCCACTACCAATTTTGCCTCCAAAACCCTATGATGCAATAAAAAAAACGGAAGAAGTATAAAAATATACTATTACATAATACAAAGTAGGTTTTTACATATCCTTAACCTCAAGTTTATAATCATGATGCTATATCAGCAAATATTACTACTACATACGTACATAGTATAAGGTAAAGAAAACGCTCATTGATCAAACTTTTATTGATGCTTCACTAACTAAAACTAGTTTAGCTTGATACTACTACTATACTCTAAGAACCAAGCACTGCAAATTAAGCCCCGTGCTTCTCAACCTTATTCTGAAGATCTTCCTTCCTGGCTCCGACAACCTTGTCAATTTGCTTTCCCTTCTTCACGAGCAAGAATGTTGGCATTGCTTGTACTCCATACTCACGCGATACATTCTGTTTTCATCCGTACCATAAACATAATCAATGAGTTAGGAACAATATTGTGAACGGCCATGTATGCCTCAAAACTATGGATACAAAACTGTAGTAGCATGAATCATAATATGGTGCAATAAAATTGTAATACTTCCTCCGTTATTTTTTATTGCATCATAGGGGTTTTAGAGACAAAATTTGGTAGTGGGAAAAAGTAAGAGAGAGAAACGTAAAAATACAAAATTGTCCATGTAACGTAAGATAAAATAAAAAGTAAGTGTGAAAAAGTAAGAGTATGTTGGGTATTTGCAGTGTGAACATAAATATTTTTTATCCTAAAAAGGAAATGATGCAATAATAAATAAACTTCCTAAAATAGTAAGTGATGCGATAAAAAAAGAATGAAGGAAGTAGTATTATTCAAAAAAACATTTGTAATAATAAAATTAGTTTAGGAAAAAGGGTCGTACAAATAACTCATCCACGTCAATCTTGACCACCTCAACATCATTGTATTTAGCAGCTATCTCTTTGATGGTTGGCTCCATGTAACGGCATGGTCCACACCATGTCGCCGTGAAATATATCACAACCTGAAATAATTTTTCCCGAGAAATGAATTAGTACTTTCTTTGTTTATTTTACTAAAGTACGTACTGAAAACAACAATATACAATAATTGACAGACAAAGTGATGATACTAAAAAAGTAAATTGGTTAGTTATCTCTCATATATACTAATTCCTCTGTTTCTTAATGATAGTTTTTTTGGGCTAAATTTTAGTTCCAAAATATTCACTTCATTTGTTTTTTCTAACGATCATTAATATTAATATTTTACCAAAATTCCTTTCAATCTGCAATAATATTTGTGTAAATTTAGCTTTTTCATATAAATTTTGCATTTTCATATACTTTTATTATTTTTTCTCTCTACTTTTTTCATACTCCATGTAAATTTACATTTTCAATGTACTTAACTACTTTTATTTAAGTTTCTTAATTCCCGTGAAATTTCACCAAAATGAACTATCATTAATGGACGGAGAGAATACGTATATCCTTTTTAATTAACTAAAGAACAATATTCATGCAGTTCAAGTGGGAATATTTACACAAAAATATGGCGTAAAATAAATTCAATTGATTGTACAGAGTAATAATAAATAAATATGGAACATAATACCAGTTTAATGTTATTTCATAGTCCACTTTAATTTTTATCCCAAAAAAAAGCAACACGAATATTGTACCAGCTTGTTAGACTGCTTGGAGGCTTCAAAATATTCCTTCCACTTGGTAGAGGAATGAAAGGCAATGATTTCCTTGGTATCGGCGACTTTGACAGCCCTACCAGCATCACCACCGCCACCAGCAACATTGCCGCCTCCATCGACAACAACAGATGGGACCCTAGAGGCAGAATAAGAAGGGGCCATAAAGTTTTTATTATCATTAGAGGGGTTGGAATAAGCAGGGGGTAATGTAGCACAGACAGGAGCAGCGTGTGCCCTATTATCAGTATAGGTGTTAGACCAACGGTAGCGGTCACGATTAGCAGCCGGTTTATTGTAAGCCGGAGGGCATGGAGCCGGAACTGCGGTTGCTGTAACCACAGATGATCTATTCTCTGGGATTGTAGACAATCTTGCTCCCATTTTACTCGCACTATATTTTGATGATATCAAAAATAACAATGTGAAGTTCTATTAAGGAATTACTTCATATATTGTATGGTTATTGAGATGTTTTTGGTTGATGTATTGGAGTAGGGAATGAGGGGTTTATATAGAATTATAGATGAGGTGCTACAAAATGTACAGAGGTCAGAATAAAAGTACCTCTTCAAGTTTTCATGCTATGTGCTCATCATGCATGTACGATTATTCTATAATTTTATATACGAGTATATATACTATATTCTAAAGCGTCATTTAGTTGACACGGAAAATATGTATATATTTTAGAGGAAGTTATTTTAAATTCTTAGAAATTTCATTAAGTGAGAGGTTTTATGTGTGGCTGGCCAACTAACACATGACAAAAGTAACCCCACTGATCTAGTAACCCCCTGACCAAGTAAACTCTCCGACCAAGTATTTCCTGACTGATCTAGTAACCCCTGACCGATCTAGTAACCCCTCCAACCTAGTAACCCCTGACCAACCTAATAACCCATAACCGAGTAACCCATAACCGATTAACCCCTAACCGACCTAATAACCCTGACCGGATCTAATAACCCCTCGTTCAATTGTAGACTTGCCAACAATTCTTTTTCGTACCGTTCTTTTTTCTACCGATCGATCTTTAACTTCTGAAGGTATTTATCTAATCTATAAGGCTAAACTATGACAAGTGGACGTATGTACTTTAATGCATTGATATTCAAAACTACCTGAGTTTCACAAGATCTACAATTTATTTCGAAGAAACCACCTTAATATAAAAAAATAATAAGATAATACACACTACTAGTAGTCAGCAATCGCAAGATTCAATCTGAATTTGCATTTAAAATACATGCAATTATGTGGATTGATGATTTGATGAATGCAAAACTATTACAATAATCCCAGAAACAACAACAGTAAAATTCAACGAAGACGACGAAGACAAAGACGGCGACGGAGGAGACGAAGACGGCGACGGAGGAGACGAAGACGGCGACGACGGAGACGAAGACGGCGACGGAGGTAACAGAAATCAATAGGAAATTGGAATGAAATTGATGAATTTGTACCTAAATCTATTGAAATTTGGGGGAAATGTTAGGGTTTGGAGCTTCGAGGAGATCTGGGTTGGTAGCTTCGACGACGGCAGAGATGAAGACGACGATGGCGGAGACGAAGACGACGGCGGAAGTTGGTGCTCCGGCCATTGACAGTAAGAGAGAGAAAGTTAGAAAGAGAAAATGAGAGGAGAGAGAGAAAATAAAAAAAAATAAAAAAAAATGTGGCTGGCCACAATAATAGAAAGTTGAAATTCTCGTTTAGTTAGCATGTAAAATTATTTGAAAAATAATAATTTAATTTTAGCTGGGATGTATAGTGGTTATTATTTTTTTAATAAAATACTCTTAGACATTACCAAACAAAAAACCAAAAATAAAGAAATAAAACCAATCTAGCTCACAAGAAAAATGTAACTTTCTCCGTACCAGTTTATAGTTTTTATTTGTGTTTTTTCATAATATTTAAAAAATTGAAGGAGAAAGTCGATGAATTACATTTAAAAAAATGAAAAATATAATTATAAACAAAAGTTAGAGAGAGAAAGTGGATAAAATACAAGACAAGTGAAAAATTCAAGGGTAAATTAAAAAATACAATGAATAAAGATTTTTAAAAATGAGGGTATAATAGTCTTTACATACTATCAAAAAATAGAAACAAAAACATTTTGGGTTTCCAAAAAAGGAAAACATGAACTAAAATGTTAGACGGAAGGAGTGTACAAAAATGGTTAAATGGTTATATGTAACATTTGGCTAGTTTTGGAATTATAAATAGAATTTGAAAATAGTCAATTTGGTAAGGAAATTTTGTTAAAAACCTTCTATAAAAGCACTTTTTAGTGAGAAAACTCCTTATAAATTTTTTTTTTGTGAGATCATACTTTAATCTTTTCCTTTTTGCTTTTTTTTTTTTTTTTTTTTTTTTAGCAAAGTCATACCTTATGCCGGAAAATAAGGTTTGATCATGTTTTCCGGCGTCGACTACCCCAGCCCCACCCACGTAACCATCCCTCTCCCAAGCCCCACCCACACTACCACCCTTTCACGGCGTTGACCACCCTAAACCCACCCCTTTCACAGTAGCCACCCCTCCCTATTCTCCAAACCACCCTAGCTCCCCTTTCATGGCAACCTCCTATGTAGCCCCAACCACGCACCCCTCTTCCCTCTATTGTCGGCGCCGGTAACCCTCAGCCCTCCCCTCATGACCATACTCCTCCCCTTTCCTCACCCCTACCCCCTTTCCTCCACCCCAATTACCCACCCCTCCATTTTCCCCTACCATTGAATACCCCCCTCCCTTTCCCCCCACCTCAAAACGACCCCCACCCCTTCCTCAACGCCAGTCGCGCCCCCGCAAACCCTTAATCCACACTTGAAGCACCCTAAACCCCAATTTCTTAGGGTGGTGGAAAGGAGGGGGGATCGATTTTGTGGGTGGGGCTGAGGAGGGGGTGGTTTCGTGGGTGGGGTTGGGGTAGTTAATGCCGGAAAATAGGGTAAAACCCCAATTTTCGGCATAAGGTATGACTTCGCAAAAAAAAAAAAAATTGATTAATGTATGACTTCGCAAAAAAAGATTTATAAGGATGTTTTTCACAAAAAGTACTTTTATAAGGAGGTTTCTGAAAAATTTTCTTTTTGGTAAATAGTTTTCTAAACTAGCCAATTTAATAAAATATTTTAATTTTTTAGTTTTATTTTTTAACTAACATATAAAAAGAAAAATTCTACTGATTTGACATATCTTACATGGTAAAAAAAAAAAAAAAAAAAAATCATCCAATAATGCAATATCCTGTCAAATTTTAAGTGTGTGCTACAATGACTATAAGCTAATATTATTATTGTATTAATTATCAATTTTATAATTATCTTCACAAGCTAGTGACAGAACATATATAGAATCTCAATCTAGACAATAATTTATAGCAAAAATTGGCAATAATACCAATAACCATTCACTTTATGTACTAGGAGCGGCTCACGGTTTGGCTCAATCGGTGATATATGCATTTTATATCATGTTTTATCCCGATTTCATAGTGTATTTTGCATGGTTTTGAGCTCTACGGAGCTATTTCTCGCTAATAATCTCTTCTATAGTGTGTTCGATCTATTGAATGAGTTTCACATAAATACAGAGATTTCTTAGATGTTTTGGACTTGTTTTGGATGGTCAATTAAGAGGTTGTTGAGTGAAAGAAGGAGAATTCCCCAATGCCCTACTGGGCACCCCATGCCCTGGCTACTAAGGAGAAGGAAGAACGAGCTAACTATGAAGAATCATCAAAAGTCCCATATGCCCGACCGGGCATGCAAAACCCTAGCAGACCGGGCAGAAGAAGAAGATTGCGAAGTTGGAGTATTATCCTGTCTGCCCGACCGGGCATCTTTCGCTCAGGCAGACCGGGCACGGCTCCGCAACATCCGTTTTAATTATTTTCGGATTTTATCTTTCTTAGGGGTATAAATACCCATTGTTATCATAATTAGAAGACATCTTTTATTTTCCTAATATTAGAACTTTTTAAAAACCCTAGTTTACTCTCTCTACATAGTTTGATTTCTATTCTTTAATTCGGCATTATTGTTCATCAACAATTAGAGCTTTTTCAATTGAAGTAATTGGTATTCATCCACACTCTCTCTTTTACCTTTTTATTGCTTATTACCTTTTTGTTTATGTTAATATGTATGAGTAGATCCATAATCCGAGATCCTGCGAAACCCAAATATGATTGATACATGAATTGAATCTTTAAATTCTCCTATAATGATCCCAATTGACATGCTTAATTGATTGTGTTTATGACAATGCTAGATTAGAAATAATTAGTATTGTTATCATTCCTTTGTTCTTGTCGCAACGGAAGTTGAATATTAACGAGATTTGGGTATTTCAATTAAGGGTTTAAAGTTCATCACGAAAGTAGGTAATTGGATGATTAGGAAGTTAAGTATTGTGTTTAACGTCCCTTAATTTCTTGACTCCGTGGAAATAGGCTTGATAGTAGATTTTGGAATCCATTGATAACTCAGAAGAGACCTTTGGTATTGTCAAGGGAATGCTTTTCCTCTTGTCAATTGATTTGTTATTGGGGGTAGATTTATAAGTGCATTAATTATATTCGTGGTAATGCTTGATCTTGGATGTTTTAGTTCATTGATTCATCACTTTCTTTAAATTAATTGTGTTATTTAGTATATTAGTTATTAGTAATCTTCATCATTGAATTGGTTACTTGCTTAGTGATTGCTTGAGTCTAATTAATTAGGTGAACCTTAGTCTCTTGGGATTCGATCCTTACTTGCCCGTCTACATAGTAGTGGTCTTGTTTGGTTATTTTTGTTAGGTACGCGACACACCTATCAAATTTTGGTGCCGTTGCCGGGGACTAACGATTTCATTCTAATTATTCGTGATTTACTTCGGCTATTGTCTCTTGTGTTTTTTTGATACTCTACTTTTAGTTCTTTGTTGCATGCAAACACGACGTTCAAGGTCAGACGATTTAACACCTTTTGATTTTGAAATCGAAGCAACTGTAGGATATGAAGAGGTAGAAAAAGAAGGAGAAATCAAAACAATAGAAACATGGATGACCAGGGAACGAAATCTCTTTGGACTACGGTATTCTTGATACAACAACCGGACTCCTCTCTAGCATTGTCAGACCACCCGTTACTGCTTAGAACTTTGAATTGAAACCATATTTCATTAAATTCATCTCCAATGATTCGTTTGCAGGCACACCTCATGATTGCCTAGTGAGTCACATTGATAGTTTCTTGGAGAAATGCGATACTATGAAGTTAAATGGTGTTACAGATGATGCTATTAGACTTCGCCTTTTTCCTTTCTCATTACGGGATAAGGCGAAGGAATGGTTGAGAGATGAAGGTACTGGCTCATTTGACACGTGGGACAAACTGGTGAAAGCCTTTCTAGTCAAGTTCTTGGGACAGGAAAAGACTGCAAGGTTGAGAAACGAGTTATCTACTTTCAGGCAGTCAGATGATGAGTCCCTATATGAAGCATGGAGGAGATTCAGGAAATGGTAGAGACAATGCCCTCACCATGGTATTCCTGAATGGATGTTGATCCAAACCTTCTATAATGGCTTAACTCATGAGTTCCGAATCTATATTGATGCTGCATCTGGGGGTTCTCTCTTGACTAAGAACCCAACTGAGGCGAAGGAGCTAATTGAGAAGATGGCGGCTAATGATAATTATCATCCAGGAGGCCGAAATAGTGTGAAGAAGGGAGGAAAATTTGATGTTGATGCTCTAACTCTTTTGACGAGTTCTATGCAGGCATTGACAAGCAAGTTTGACAAGCTCCAAGCTGGATCATCTTCTAGCTCACCTGAAACTTGTCAAATGTAATGAAGGGTGGAAACATCATCCAAATGTCTCCTACAAGAATACCCAAGCCCAACAAAATCAACCTCCACCTCCACCACCACCTCAAAACAACAATTATAATGCACCACCTGGTTTCCAAGCAAGGCCACCTCTAGTCCAACAACCTATGCAACCACCTCCTCAAAAATCTAACCTTGAGCTAATGATGGAGAACTTCATTACCACAACAAACAATTCTATCCAACAGTTACAAGCTCAGAACAAGTTCATATAAAATCAAATAATAAGTCAACTTGCTCATCAAGTTGGCCAATCTTCAAACACTCCGGGTACCTTTCCGGGTTTAATATAGCAACCACAAAAGGAGCATATGAATGCCGTGACTTTGAGGAGTGGAAAGCAGTTAGAAGATCCTCCCGTAAGGGATCCATCAAGGGAGGTTGTTGAAGAGGTAGTCACAAATGAGAAGGCGGTTGATAGTAGTGTGATTGAGGAAGAGCCAAAGGCATCAATTCCACCACCACTTGCTCCATATGTGCCACAAGTTCCTTTTCCACAAAGGTTGGCTCAAGCTAAGTTAGAGAAAATGTATGGAAAATTTCTTGATATTCTGAAAAAGCTTCACATCAACATTCCATTCTTAGATGCAATATCCGAGATGCCATCTTATGAAAAATTTTTAAAGGATATGCTCTCTAACAAGAAGAAGCTAGAGGAGAATGCTATGGTTACGTTGATTGCAGAGTGTAGTGCGATTTTGCAAAACACACTTCCTAAGAAACTAGGCGATCCGAGTAGCTACTTAATTCCGGTGAAACTTGGAGACATAGAGATCAACAGGGCACTATGTGATCTTGGTGCAAGTGTGAGTCTTATGCCGCTCTCTATTTGTAAGAAACTTCAAATGGGTGAACTAAAGCCTACACGCATATCTCTATAACTTGCGGATAGGTCGGTTAAGTTTCCTTTGGGTGTATTTGAAGATGTTCCTCTTCGCGTGGGAAAATTCTTTATTCCATGCGACTTTGTTGTGATTGAGATGGAAGAGGATGCACATGTTCCTATTATTCTTGGTAGACCATTCTTAGCCACTGCAGGAGCAATCATTGATATGAAGAATGGCAAAATCACTTTTGAGGTAGTAGGCGACGAGAAAATGGAGTATTCACTCTTGAATGCTATGGGAACTCCTTCCATGGGAGAGACTATTTGTCAAGTGGATGTCCTTGATGATTTACAACGTGAACAATTTCCCTTGATCAAAACGGATGATGCACTTGAAATGATGTTATTGGGGAGTGCCAATGATGAAGATTGGGAAACAAGGGAGTACACACGGCTACTTGAGGAAGCAAAAGTCAATCCAATCACCGACTCCAGTTAATTAAGGAAGTCCTTAGTGCATCGAGTGTTGGGGAGAGTACTACACCTCCCGAGATAGAATTGAAACCCCTTCCCTCTACTCTTAAATATGCATACCTTGGTCCTAATAATACATATCCTATTATTGTTAATGCTGAGCTTAATGACACAAAATTAGAGCAATTGCTCACTGTTTTGAGAAAATATAAAAGTGTTATTGGGTACATCATTAATGATATTAAGGGTATTGATCCCTCTTTTTGTATGCATAAAATCATTCCTGAGGACGATCATGCCTCCTCTAAAGAACCTCAAAGAAGACTTAATCCAAATATTATGGAGGTAGTTAAAAAAGAGCTTCTCAAATTTCTCGCTGCAGGGATAATTTACCCTATCTTAGATGGTAAGTGGGTTAGCCCTATACAATTAGTACCTAAAAAAAGAGGTATGACCGTTGTCAAGAATGACAAGGGTGAGCCAGTCGCCACTAGGACTGTTACAGGTTGGCGAATGTGTATTGATTATAGAAGGTTGAATAAGGCCACCCGAAAGGACCATTTTCCCCTCCCCTTTATTGATTGGATGCTAGAACGTTTGGCTAAGCATTCCTTTTTCTGCTACTTGGATGGATACTCTGGTTTCTTTCAAATTCCCATCCATCCATGTGATCAGGAATAAACCACTTTCACATGTCCCTATGACACCTTATCCTATCGAAGAATGCCATTTGGATTATGTAATGCTCCAGCCACGTTCCAGCGTTGCATGATGGCAATTTTCTCAGGTCTTATTGAATATTCAATGGAAGTTTTTATGGACGACTTCTCTGTCTATGGAACATCTTTTGATGTATGTCTTGAAAATTTGAAAAAGGTTCTCATTAGATGTCAAGAAGTCAATTTAATTTTGAACTGGGAAAAATGCCATTTTATGGTACAACAGGGAGTTGTTCTAGACCATGTGGTATCACATAAGGGTATTGAGGTCGATAAGGCAAAGATAGAGGTCATTGAGCGACTACCCCCTCCTAACTCTATAAAAGGAGTTCAGAGCTTTCTTGGTCATGCAGGATTTTTATAGATGATTTATTAAAGACTTTTCAAAAATCGCTCGACCTCTAACTGAGCTTTTGGCTAAGGATGCCCCATTTGTATTTACTGATGCTTGTCTTGAGGCTTTTAACAGGTTGAAGGAAGCTTTGATCTCTGCTCCTATTATGCAACCCCCGAATTGGACCCTACCATTTGAAATTATGTGCGATGCTAGTGACTATGCGGTAGGAGCCGTTTTAGGGCAACAAAAGGACAGAAAACTTCATGCTATTTATTACTCTAGTAAAACTCTTAGCCCTGCTCAAATGAATTACTCTAGTAAAACTCTTATTTACTCTAGTAAAACTTCATGCTATTTATTACTCTAGTAAAACTCTTAGCCCTGCTCAAAAAAGAGATGCTAGCAGTAGTTTATGCAATAGACAAGTTTCATTCCTACCTAGTTGGTTCGAATGTAATAATTCAAACAGATCATGCAGCATTGAGATATTTAATGAGTAAAAGTCACGCCAAGCCGCGGTTGATTCGTTGGATCCTGCGGTTGCAAGATTATGACATCGACATAAAGGACACGAAGGGGACTGAGAAACCATCTTTCTCGCCTCCTCCTTGATAACTGGGACGGAGACGACCTCCCTTTTGATGATTCTTTCCCTAATGAACATTTATTAGCTCTTTCGAAAATTGAATCACCTTAGTATGCTGATTTAGCTAATTTTCTGTCCACAGGTACAATGCCTCACGGCTACTCGTCTCAACAAAAGAAGAAATTCCTTTATGAGGCAAGGAGACATTTTTAAGAGGATCCTTTCTTGTATAAGCTATGTGCGGATGCAGTGATCATACGATGCATCCCGGAGAATGAGGTACATAATATCATCTCTCATTGTCATGACTTACCGTGTGGTGGAAATGCAGGTCCTTCGAAGACAACCGCAAAAATCTTACAATGCTGTTTTTATTGGCCAATCTTGTTCAAGGATGTCTATTCATATGTCAAAGCTTGTGATCGTTGCCAACAGACAGGTAATATTTCAAGGAAGAATGAGATGCCACTAAACAACATACTCGAGGTCGAGTTATTTGATGGGTGGGGGATAGACTTCATGGGACCGTTTCCTTCTTCCCATGGAAACCGATATATCTTAGTAGCCGTTGACTATGTGTCAAAGTGGGTTGAAGCTATTGCTACTCCAACCAATGATTCTCGTGTGGTAAGTAAATTTTTCAAGAAAATAATTTTTCCCCAATTTGGTATCCCACGTGTGTTGATTAGTGACAGGAGAACACACTTCTTGGAGCATCGATTTGAAGCAATGTTGAAGAAATATGGAGTGCAACATAGGCTTGGCATTGGCTATCATCCACAAACTAGTGGTCAAGTTGAAGTGTCCAATCGAGAAATTAAATCTATCCTGGAGAAAACGGTTGCAAGGACAAGAAAGGATTGGTCGGCCAAGATTGACAATGCACTATGGGCATACCGAACGGCTTTTAAAATGCCAATAGGTACAACCCCATACAGACTTGTCTATGGGAAGGCATGCCACCTACCTGTTGAGCTAGAGCACCGAGCATTTTGGGATATTAAGAGCTTAAATTTTGATGCTAAAGCGGCGGGAGAAAAGAGATTGTTACAATTGAATGAACTAGATAAGCTCCGTCTTGAAGCTTATGAGAGTTCAAAACTATACAAAGAAAGGACTAAACGGTGGCATGATAAGGGCATTGCGAGAAGAGAATACAAGGAAGGAGATCAAGTCCTTCTATTCAACTCACGATTGAAATTATTTCCCGGTAAGCTTCAGTCTAGGTGGTCGGGTCCTTTCACTGTTTTTAAGGCCTGCCCCTACGGCACTATTGAACTATGGAACAAAACCGAGGCCACTTTCAAAGTTAACGGACAAAGGGTGAAGCATTACCGCATCAGGTATCCAATCGAAGAGAAGGTGGACTTCACACTCTCTTCCCCATCGTCAACTCAATGAGCATTACTATGGTCGAGCTAGCGACCTTATAAACAAGCGCTTGCGGGAGGCAACCCGTTTTCATAGTTTTTCTTATTTTCTTTTCCTTTTTAGTATTGTGTTTGTTTTGTTTTTTTAGGGTACACTGAGCTATGCAGAAGTGGGATGTCAAAGGTTGAGAAACAAGTGAATCACTCGTCGCCCTGGCAGACCGGGCATGGATGCCGGACCGGGCGCGAGAAGCAAAAATCACAGGGGAAGAAAAAGAGAGAAAGGAAAACGTAAAATATTTTCTAACCCTCACCGCCCGGTCAGACCGGGCGACGACTCCCGATCGGGCGAGAGAAGCAGGAAGCAAAAAAAATTGAAAACTTCAAGTTAACTCCCACCGCCCAGTCAGACCGGGCATCGATGCTCGATCGGGCGCGAGGGGTAACAGCGAGGGCAGCGAGCTTTAATTAAAAAAAAAAAAAAAAAAGAACCCTCTTCACCCCATTCTACTCTTTCCTTTTCATTATTCATACACTTTCTCTCTCTATAAACCCCTAAATCCCAAACCCTAACTCTCATCCTCTCCTCTAATCCCCACAAATTTCACTCAAATTCTTTCACTCTCCTCATCCTTCATCACCTCTATCTAATATTTAACCTCCATAACTACTCCTCTCATCTCCAAACACTCATCTCACCCAAATTTCAATTTTTTTTAGAAAGAGAAAGCTTTGAGTAACAACAATGGCTACAAGGAAGAGGAATAGAGGCGCACCTCAAGAACCACAACTAGATTTGGAAAGCGATCCGGGGTTTCCACACATCAAGTTCGTGGCCGAGTTTCCCAATCAAAAGATGCGGTTCCAAGAGCTCAAACATCGGAAGGTAATTCCTATTCGTTTCATATATCATTCTCTTCTTGCAAGATTAGGAATAGATTCTGAATGTAGAACTTTGTTTTCTAAACTTGGCATGACTCAAATGTTCAACATGATTCATTACACTTACAAAGATATAACTCTTGAATTTTTGAGTTCTTTTGATGTAAAGAGGGGTAGAGATGGTTTGGTGACATATGTAGTATATAGGTTGTTGAATAAATCCCATCGAGTCAAACTAGAAGGTTTTGCTAGAAAGTTTGGTCTCCCGACCTCAGGATTAACCATGCAACCAAACAATTTCATTTTTGGGGATTTGTGGTTTGCCATGACAGATGAAAATATTGAGTCTATGCAGCATGCTCCTGCTAATAAAATCCATTAACCTGTCCTTAGGCTCTGGACTCGCTTTACAGGGTGGACTATTTTTGGACGGGTAGAACCTAATAATGTTAGAGCTGATGAGGTTGCAATCTTGGGTGGTTATTTGAGATATGGGGATTTCGATGAGGCCTTTCGGATGAACATTGCCCACCTATTTTCCCTTCATCTTAGGAAACAAGGACTTACCTTCACCACCGTTAAACCCTATGGAGACCGTACCCACAACTCTATAGTCCCAGGCGGTTTAGTGACCCACCTGGCACTTAAGGAGGGTTTCATTGAAGCTAACCACACGCCAGTGCCGGGCCCTATCACCTTAGACCAAAAATACTTCATTGCCACCAACTGGTTGTCCGTTGAACTTGGTAATTACAGTTGGCTTATTGGAAAGGGCAATAGGCGCTCTATCTCCTTACCCTTCCCTGACCTCACTAAGATTCGCCCTCACCAACCCTCCTATATTTTGGAGATTCCAAGCAGTTCAACTCCCCCAGTTGCCCCTACGAGGACCTACTATAGGCAAGAGTCTGGTGGGCCCTCCTCATCTTCCACTACACCAACTGTCTCTTCTGACAATGAGGACATCATGGCCGGCATCCAGGATCTCTCCTCCCGGCTCCAGACACTTGAGACCAACTTTCGCCTGTCTATGCATCCTGTTTATGATTGTTTTTGCAGGCAAGGTCACATTCTGAGGAATGCTTCCCATCCTTCTTGGTATATTTTCCCCGATGTGGTAGACATTGCAAG